CAGGACCAGATGGAATTCAACAACTCAAATCAAATCATGACTGAGTGATTTAGCATTAATGTAGTCTTTGAATCTAGTCCAAATTTATTTTCCCCTGACACTGATAGAGGCCTCAAAATATTTTTGATCCAGACCCAAATCATGGTTTACTTGTCAATTTACATGTTCTACTACAAGACCTGCAAATACCTCTAACGGATCCATATTTGATTATTGTTTGTGTAGTCACAGAAAGGCTGCGCGAATGTGTTCTACTACAATTTCATGAACTGAGCAGGAATTTGGAAGTAGGAAAGATGTTAGGGAGCATCTCATAAAACACCCTACTTTACGGGTTAGGAAACTGAGTGGCAGTGAACTTAGTGACCTGACCAGTGTGTCACAGCTAGTTAGCAGCTAACCTGCAACTAGAATCCAGTTTTCTGACTCCAGAAATAAAGAGTTCTGAGTTCACAGAATCCAAAGCGTTGGCCTCAAAAAGGAAATGTGAGAATATTTGCCGATGTAGCTTTTACCGGTTAAAATGTTGAGCAATATGGATTACTGACTTGACCAAAAAAGAGTTAAGGCATCATTTCAAACCTTCTTGGACTTGGTATCGTTTGCTTGCAGTAGCAATGCACTATAACATAACTCAAAGAAACAAAGAATTTATAGCAGGATATGACTTACATAGAAGCCAGCTCTATTTAGAGCACAGGTGTGTTACTAGGGAAAACACAGTGACTTTACACTTTGAGTACACTCCAAAAGAGTACTCAGTTCCTGACAAAGAGAAGTGAGGACATATGCTGAATATTTAATGACATGCTGTTTTGTGGTTTCTCCCAAACCACAATGTGAAGGTAGTATTTGTTTGTTTTGAGTGATGATTATATTTGGTGCATTATGTCCCATTTGGTATGTAATATCTACCCCGTCAAAATCATTAGTGCTGTGAGAAGAGGAATAAACAAAATGGTAGCTGTTTGTGGTCCCAGAGAAGAGAAACGGTATTTTTATCAGTGCGTAAATCAATTTTCACAGGTAGAATGCATCTTCACCAGGGACCAGCAAATCATAAATTATTCTCCGTACATGAGCTTTCCAATGTGTCCTTCCCCTAAGATGACTTTCTTCACATTTCTGATTGTTGTTTTCACAACACTCAATTCATTGATTTACTTCCCATGTTGTAATAAAATGGATACGAGAACTTCTCTTAAGATTTTTTTTTTAATTCCTGTGGAAAAGCAACGCTGAAGGCTCCCTAACTTGAACTCTGTTTAAATATTTTGAATCTACCTGCATGACATTTCTTTCTCTTGCTCAGTCCTCCAACAGCTATTCTAATTCTAACTTTTCCCCTGACAACTCCTCCATAGAAAGAACTTTGATTTTAGAACCAATACTCACTATGGAGTAGCACAAGCAAGCAGCGTATTGGTTTTTCCCCCCACTAATTATCCCTTGCTTCTGTGTAAGTTAATATTGGCATTTTGAAAATGTGTTATCACATCTGAAAAATTCAATGCTAAAGGTAAACACTCCTTTCATCATTTAAGATGAAACATTGTAACATTCTTTTTCGGTGTCACTGTCCCTGATATTGCTGAACTATGGGGCCCTTCCCTGAGCATTCGCTCATTTCTTCATACTTCTGTATGAAGGATTTACACCAGGCATACAAATAACTTTGAAAAACCCTTAGGTGGCAAAAATTGTATTCTATTGGCCATTGCTAAAATTTATCATTTCTCCTTCCATACATTCTTTTTTTTTTAAAGATTTTATGTATTTATTTATTTATTTGAGAGGGAGAGAGAGAGAGAGAGCACGAGTGGGGAGAGAAGCAGAGGGAGAGCGAGAGGGAGACCAGACTCCCCACTGAGCGGGGAGCCCGACACGGGGCTCGATTCCAGGACCCTGAGATCATGACCTGAGCCAAAGTCAGAAGCTCAACTGACTGAGCCACCCAGGCGCCCCTCCATACACTCATGATTATCCTACCACTTCTCCTTATCACTGATGGTCAATGTGCATGCCTCACTAAAGCAGTTACATGGAGATTGTGTGCAGATACCCACAACCCAGCAAACCAAACCAGAAAAAGCACAGTTGTTTCACGAGCAGTGAGATCATTTATGTGAGAGCAATTTGTGTTTGCAGCACAAGATAGTGTAAATGTAAATCCAAGGTATCAAATTATTATTAGGTGCTGTTGAGGCACGGATCCTTGACTAGAAGCCAGGGACACTTACTTCTAGACTCAACCCTAGCACTAACCAATTACATAATTCTGGGAAGTGCATTTAATCTTTTTCTCTTTATGCTTGTGTCTACTTGAAAATTAGTCTAACACCAAACCTATCCTGTTTTTATTATAATTTATTGTAATCATTTGCCTATGTATCTTCCTCACCTATTAACATTTTGTTCTTAAAAAAAAAATCGCATGAATTCTCCATCACTCATGCACAGCCCTATTACAGATGTGAAGAAAATGCTAAGAGAACTTCAGCTGATGAATATATTTTACCCATCTGTGCTTCTCAGATCTTCTGGATAGTGTCTAAGTCTCCTGTCTTGACTTGTTTAAGGCTCTGGGTATAAAGCCTGGTGCCCTCTTTATCACAACTGATTTAAAATCAGCTTCATGTAACGACATGGGATGGAGGATGTAAAGTGCAGGGGATCGTTTTACAGACAAAACCTCTGTGGAAGATCAGTCACAGTCTTATCCAAGGGAGGCATTTTACATGATTGCTGTTGAAGTTTAAATGTCTGCACCCGGATCTCCCCCTGAAACAGGAGTTCTGCGTCTCCCAGCCTGCCAAATGGAGCCTGCCTTCTCTATTTCTGTCAGGCAGCTCGCCTCCCACAGCGTGAAAGCCACCACAAATCCTTCTGCTGACTATTTTCCTAATGCATGTTTAGGGTGTGCTCTCGAGTGAGCACTATTTCCAGCTGCCCATGCCGGGAGATGGAGGGTTCCTCGGGGTCAGATGGCGGGGCTGGATGGAGCCCTATGTTTAGGGCTCTATCAGAATGACCCGGAGCCTATCTCCGAGTTTGGTGGAAGAGTGAGCTCTTATCACAAGCTGTGGCAGTACATGTCCCAGTGGTGTGCCCTCTCTGTGGGGTGTTTTTGATACTAATAATGTCTGATGTTTATGACACACTGGCTCTTCCAGGTGCTTCTGTAAAGCACTGTAGGACTGTGAGTTCATCTAATCCTTTCAATAATCTTATGAGGTATACACAATTATTGTTACCACTTTTACAGATGAGGAAAGTGAAGCTCAGAGTTAAGGAACTTGTTCAGGACTGCATATCTATTCAGCAGCTGGTCTGTGATTTAAACATAGGCGGTCGTTTTCCAGAGCTTAGAGGCTTACCCCTATGCATACTGTCCAGATATATTCCCCAGGAGTATCTTATCTATCTCTCTGATAATAATGACACCAAAACTGATGAGATAATGAAGGCTCTGAAATCCCCTGCCATTTACCATGGCCTTTCACTAAAGAGAAAAACTGATGGCCAAGGGCAGGGAAATGGACTCCTTCCTGTAAGTGGGCTAAAAATGGCATGTCTCCAACATAGGTGTCTTTGAAATGCATACATTTGGAATTGTTAGGGGACTGTGGGCTTATTGAGTTCATTGCTATTTCTCGCTTCTTCCCCAGAAAAGACACTAGATATGACATTATCTGACAAGTGATTTTGCTTTGAATATAGTCACTTCTTTTGTAAAAGGCCCAACAACAGCCTAAGTCTCTTTAACTTGGTAATAGAACATCAGCACATCCCAAGGGCTCATGGAGGGTGCATAAGTGGACTTCACTTACTAGTGTTTGGAAGACAACAGAATACCCTCTGATTTCCCTCTAAATTAGCCCCATATTGCATTGAAATAGCTAATCTCTCTTGCGACAAACTCCTTATTAGGACATTAATAAAATATAGCAATCATCATATTTGATAAATAGGTATGTTATTGAAGGGAAGAAGATGCTCATTAGTTGGCAAAGATATTTTCCACAGTAAAATTTGGGAAAGATATTCATGGTTAATTTCACATTAATGTAGGCATGCTCCAACCTTCACAAGGAGAGGATAGACGAATGATCTCTACATAAGGATATAATTTTCCCAGGCCACACCTCCAAATCACATGTCTATTTAAAATTATAAATGGGTACCTATTTTAAGGCCAAGGTTCTGATCATAAAATGGAGGAGAAAAGTCTTGGGTGCAGAAGATTTTGAAGATTGGAATTATGAGATCTCTTAATGTCCATGTATCCTCATAAGACTTACTCTGGTCCTTACTCATATCCTCATATGGTTACTCTGATCAAATCCTGACAGAGCTCTCTTCGTGTATTTGTTTGTGCAGAAATGTAAACTTACAAACCTATTATATTCAATAGACATTTTTGAGCACTACTATGTGCTAGTATCTGTGTCAGAGAACATTAGCCACAAAATAGACTGAGCAGAGAAATGAGTTGATCTGTGAAACACAATTGCTTGATAGCATTCATCGGTATGCTAAAGTATGTTTAAGAAAAATGGTGGTTTGGGTATGGCTGTAATTAATATTTAGATTTTTAGAAATATAATGTTATTCTTTTTTATTTTTATAATTTTGTTTATTATGTTATGTTAATCACCATACATTGCATCATTAGTTTTTGATGCAGTGTTCCATGATTCGTTTGAGTGTTAACACCCAGTGCTCCATTCAATACGTGCCCTCCTTAATACCCATCACCGGGCTCACCCATCCCCCTACCCCCCTCCCCTCTAGAACCCTCAGTTTGTTTCCCGTAGTCCATAGTCTCTCATGGTTCATCTCCCCTTCTGATTTCCCCCAACCCTTCATTTTTCCCTTCCTTCTCCTAATGTCCTCCATGCTATTCCTTATGTTTCACAAACAAGTGAAGTGCTGAAAGAAGGAGTCATAAAACCCAGTACATAGGGCATTTATCATCATGGCTAGGGTTATGTACGATCATGGAGAATGGAGAACAAGGGTCTGAAATATCAGCACTAGGAGGTAAAGATGATTTTATAATTATCACCTAATATGACAGAGTGCCACCTGAGGCCAAAATCAAACAATGGAAGGGCATGGCCGGCTCAGCTGAAGCAGAGAGGACCTAAGGGGCAGGTATAAACATGTGGAAATCCGTGATTGTGAAGGGTGATAGTTTGGACGGCGTTGAGGTGAAAAGAGAAGGAGAGAGGAAAAGGAAGACAACCAAAGTGGGATGGTGAAGTTTCCCACACTAGGTCCAGTTAGATGGAGAAGAGGAAAGACTGACGATTCGCATACAGGGGCAGCTATGACTGCACCGGGGTCCACAACTGTCCAGCTAGCTCCTGAAAGCCTCTTGAAATGCAATGAAGAACATCCGCTAAATCTGTTACTATTAGCAATATAGTATCACAAAAGATTGAGAAAGCAACAAGAGCAACTTCTAGGGGCGCCTGGGTGGCTCAGTCGTTAAGCGTCTGCCTTCGGCTCAGGTCATGATCCCGAGGTCCTGGGATCGAGCCCCGCGTCGGGCTCCCTGCTCCGCGGGAAGCCTGCTTCTCCCTCTCCCGCTCCCCCTGCTTGTGTTCCCTCTCTCGCTGTCTCTCTCTGTCAAATAAATAAATAAATAAAATCATTTTTAAAAAAGGAGCAACTTCTAATATACATGTATCACGAACCTGCAACAAAACTTTCAGTTAAACGAAAATGATACCCACCTTGGAGAACATTATAATCCTGTTTATAATGTCCAAGAGGGGAACTCTGGGACCAGTCAAAGCCAAAGCAGATCCTCCTTTGTGCCTCCTGCCACTTCCTTTACCCAGGGTGTATTTCGACGAACAGATAAAAGCGATCTAAAAATTTCAAGGATCAATATGTGAGAGCGACATAAATCTAGGAGAATAATATCAGAAAGGCTCCAGGGCAGGATATGCTGAATCTTGTGGAAATGTTAACAATCTTTCTAAAAGGGTTTCCAGTGATCTTTTTTTTAAGCTAAGTTCAGGGCAAGAACAATAAAAAAGAGACACGGTCAAGGCTTGGGGCAGATGGTATGATATTAACAGATGAAAGAGAAAAGACAGAACTTTGGAACTCTCTTTTTATTTCTCTGTGATGCAAATGGTATTCACACTGGGACTCATAAAGTCAATGTAGTTCAGAGGACACAAAAGACCAGCTTCAGGAAGGTAATCACTGAAAATAATTTGCTACTTGGAATGTGTTTAAAGCTACAGGTATACACAAATCATATTCTCCCCACCCCAAGATTTATTGAGAGATAATTAACTATATGTCATTGTTATATATACCCAAGATTCTTAGAGGTATGATCACAGGGTCTCTGTAGGTAAGCTTGGAGGTTCCTAGTGTAAAGTTCAGATGCCTGAAATAGGAAAATGTTGCCACTAGTTCTAAAAAGTTAGATTTTGAAGGATGGATTTGGAAATACAGATCAACGAACTTGAGGTCAATACCTGGCAAAATTCTAGCATAGATTATTAAATAGACAGGCATTGAGCCCTTAGAAAAGCCCACCACCAGACCACTGCTGGGGGGAATATGGACAGTGGAAGGAGGAAGGAGCTAAGGTGGACTATGGGATCTGAGGCACTTAGCAGGCCTGAAACAAAGAAGTCAAACATAGAAGGAATTAGAAAGTCATTCTGACACAGGGCAAGAATGGAAAATCGGATACCAACCACATGCAGAGCGGTGAAGGGATTGCTGAGAGAGCTGAAGCCAGAGCCTTCTGCCAGGAGACAGAAATAGGGCTGGAAAGAGGTTTGAGCAAGGCAAGGCCAGTGGCGATGAAACGAGCTAGATATGGCGAATGGAAGCCCAGTGCGCTAGGGCTATACTGTCTCCTCACTGGTTCAGTGCCTCTGGAAGCTTTTGACTCAGCTGCACCCAGGCCCCTCAAGACCAGATGCTCTTTAAAGGGCCAGACACCAGGGACCTAGGTCCCCGGACCCCCATCCAGAGCACCCTCCAGATGCTTGCATTTCTTTGTGTCAAAAACCAAATCATATTTTGAAAAGAGAAAGAATTTAATTTTGTTGTACTGTGAATTGCTTAAGATGCTGCCTCAGGGAAGCCCTGGGCTTACTTAGTCACCAAGCACTGAGCACTCACAAAGGATAGACACTGTTTTAGACATCACTGGAGGCAGAAAAGCAGTGGTGCAGAGTAAGTCATGCTTGACTAAATGCTTTTCTTTTCTTCCTGTAACTTAAATTAAGGATGTTAGGAAAGAAACAGAATACATGCTTTCCTTAATTAATTGCAGTGAATATTGCTTATTATTTTCCACATCATTTGTTATTATGATAACTTACCCCAAATTAGCTAACTCTTGGCAAGACAATATCAACTGCTATAGCTCATATTTCCTATATCTGGGAAATTCTTTATTAGAAGCTCAGTAATAATAGCAGAATGAAAATATATATATATATATATATATATAATTTTTTCCCTTCTGACAGTTACATCATCCATTTTCTTCTTAGGCACCCTTTCCTCAGATTAAATTTTCCATCTCCTGTCATGTATTTTTCTCATCCTTATTAGGATTACCATACGATGGTGTGTTAATAAAGTTAGTTAAGCATCAGACCCCTTGGTTTTGGCTCAGGTCATGATGCTTAACCAACTGAGCTACCCAGGCACCCCAATATAACACATTTTTAAATTTAACATGCTTTATTAGCATTTTCTTCATCACTTTTCAAAGTGTAGGCAATCCACACAGTAATAAATAAATATTGATTTTTATGGTATAAATACTCTCATCATAGCCAATTTCAAGCTACCAATATAAGATTGCTGGATGCAGAGTTGGAAAGACATTCGTAGTAAGTAGCACACCATTGTATGGTAATTCCATTATTCAGTTACAACAGATGTAAATAACCTCAAGATAATGGTAAAACAATTAGAGAGTGATGTGTTTTGAGTATCTATTACTTTTATTTTTAATATAGTTTATTTAATTGTAAATTTATAAAATTTAATTTTTAATAATGACTGTGCTTAACAACTGACTCCCAAGACTCCTAAAAATTTAACAATTGGCTCTCAGAAGCCTAGTCAAGTCAGCTCAAATACCCAACTTAACCTATTTGAGTTACCATTCATTCCCTTACTATTGAATGGAAATTAAAATACTTCCTTTGTCTACCTCAGTGATTGCTGTGAGCATTACATAAAGTGACCCATTTGGTAGAAGAACTTTATAATGCCAAAGTGCTATGTAAATATATCTCAAGAAAAAAAGGAGAAATATAGGAAGAGAAAGCAAAAAGTATGTCCCAGAAGTGCATGGTTTCAAATTAATAAATTCAAATTAATCCACCAATTTGAGAAGAATATACATATATATATGCCTTGCTAGAGTATAACAAAAGGAAGAGAAAAAATGAAAATTGAAGACTGTGGTGGGGTGCAAAAGTGGCCACAATTCTTCCCACCTCCTCCCATCAAGAGGTAGAACGTGGGCTGACTTGTGACTTGCTTTGGCCAATTGAATATGGCAGAATCAATATCATGTGAGTTCTGAGCCTGGCCTTGAGAGGCTTGGCAAGCTTCCAATTGCTGGTCTTGGAACGCTATGACTGCTATATGACCTGGAAGCCAGCTGCAGATGCAAGAGGGACCCCCCCAGTAGAGATTAGTCAAGACTGCACAGATCAACGTAATGGCACAGTAGAGCTCAGTCCAAATGACTGATCCTCACCATTATGAGCTAAATAATCGCTGGTTATTTTAAGTCACTAAGAGTTGAGGCAGTTCCAATTAAAAAATGGGTAGAAGACATGAATAGACATTTTTCCAAAGAAGACATACAGATGGCTAAAAGACACATGAAAAGATGCTCCAACATCATTCATCATCAGGGAAATGCAAATCAAAACTATAATGAGATACCACCTCACACCTGTCAGAATGGCTAAAATTAACAACACAGGAAACAACAGGTGTTGGCAAGGATGTGGAGAAAGGGGAGCCCTCTTGCGCTGTTTGTGGGAATGCAGACTGGTGCACCCACTGTGGAAAACAGTATGGAGGTTCCCCAAAAGTTAAAAATAGAACTACCCTATAATCCAGGATTCACACTACTAGGTATTTACCCAAAGAATACAAAAACAATAATTCAAAGGGATACATGAGCCCCAGTGTTTATAGCAGCATTGTCTACAATAGCCAAATTATGGTGCCCAGGTGTCCATCGAATGATGAATGGATAAAGAAGAAATATATAAAATGGAATTTTACTTGGCTATAAAAAAGAATGAAATCTTGCCATTTGCAATGACATGGATGGAGCTAGAGAGTATTATGCTAAGCGAAATCAGTCAAAGACAAATATCATATGATTTCACTCATGTGTGGAATTTAAGAAACAAAACAAATGAGCAAATGGGGAAAAAAGAGACAGAGAGATGAACCAAGAAACAGACTCTTAACTATAGAGAACAAAGTGATGGTTACCAGAGGGGAGGTGGGTGGGGGGATGGGTGAAATAGGTGATGGGGGGTTAAAAGTACAGTTATGAGGAGCACAGAGTAATGTAGAGAATTGTAGAATCACTATATTATACACATGAAATAAACATGACACTGTATGTTAACTAATTGGAATTTAAATAAAAGCTTAAAAAAAGAGTGAGGCAGTTCATTATAGGGCAAAACCCAACATTGCCATATTCAAGGGTTCACGAGTTTATATTAGGATGTTAGTTCAAGGGTTTGTATTAAATTCTTCATATTATTTAATCTCAATCTTTATGAGTCCTGTGAGTAGTTACTCTTAATCATATTTAATTCTTAAGGGACCAGAGGACTTTGTTTAGATGGATGAGACAACTATTGAGTTGAAGAGTGTATACAGGGGCATATTGATTTATGGAAAGAACATTCATAGGTGTATTAGAGTTTAAAACCATATGCGGAAAAGAGCTTTGAGAAATAAGACAGGGGAGTCTATTGTTGAATAACTAATAAATGTATACTTTT